TTATATAATCATCCGAAAGCATTAAAACGTTTGAAATAGATCTCGTCTCACTTTTTTGTATTTTTCACTTGGTTGCTGAAGTAATGAAGAATTGAAAATTCATAAGGAAAAATTATAGTTTTCTTATTTTGTATTTTAATATCTTAAAAATTTGTAGACTTATTGAAAAATGATAAATGAACGTGAGGTACTAAATTTAATAACCTTTAATTTGATATATATTCCTGTTTATAATAATTAACGCATTTCATAGATATTACAAGCCAAAGTTTCATTTTCAAAATTCATACACTTTGATTAAATTGCGCGGGCTAAATATATGTTTTAAATTAATCGTTCGCGGCCAACAACAATTGGCTTAGACCTAAGACATCATAATATTACTATTACAATACGGTCAAATGCCTTTTATTTTCCCCCATACAAAATCGACCCAGCCTAATATACATACATACATATGTACATAAATATTCAAAAATAATGTTGTTGCAAAAACCCTCAATACAAATCGAATTCGATAGCGTAAAAAGAAATATTCATATTTTTTTGGACTTATCAAATTTTCTGTGACTACTTTGGATTTAGCAATTTTGCACATCACGGAATAAAACGGGTAGAAATAAAACAAGTAGTTAGATTCTTTCAGAAACGGTGCATTTTCAACATTCCTTGCTTACTGCATTAAAAACTAATTGTTCATAAAATGTGGACTTAGCAATATTTCACTCTAAGCTAGCGATTTGTGTTTTCAATATACAGTTGAGGACATTGAAATCTAGCCTATCATAAAAACATGAATTTTCGTATTTTTAGGTATTTTTATATTTTTGTTAGTTTGGTAGGAAAATTAGTAATACATATTTACATAACTTTGGTTGTAATAAATTAAGAAAATATTAATTTTAAAACTAAAAATTTAGAAGAAATATTTTATAATAATATCATGCAGAGTCTTCTCCGCTTTCTATAAGTCATTTACGCGCTGCGACAAAAAATTTATAAATTTCGGTAATGGTTCTGCTTCGATAACATTGCACCGAACATCCTCTAGAACTCAGTTCGTATTCATGATATGCGAAAGGCCCACGATTGGATTTTCGGTTCCCTCCTATGAATAAGAGAGTTCTACAAAAATTTTTCTTTCCGCAAATGTTTTTTTACCGTTTTGATAATTTTTTTTAAATTCGGGAAAATGATTCGGAATATGGTACCATTCTTTACACTTTCCAAACTATATATTATACATACATATTTACCACGAATAAGCCAATAATATTCAGAATTCATATAATGAAATTCCGCTTGGTACCTTCCTTTTATCTGTCTGTATATCAATGTCCACAACTGTATTTATAAAATCATACATAAGCAAACGTCAAATATTTAAAAATGTGAACGTCAAACATATCTGGTTGTGGTAATGGAGACGGTTGTGATTTAGCAACTGGATTTATTAAATCTTAATGGATAAATCTCTCAATGGAGACATAGTATAATTAATCATTTATAACTAAACAATTAAATTCCGCAAAATAAAAATATTTCCTTAGTTTAAGTTTTTAATACAACATAAGTACTCTTTAAAGCAACCCTCTTAGTAATTTCCAGTAACTGTTTCTTGAAAATGTGTATAGCTAAGTTTTAGATTAGTCCACGAAAAATAAGTGGTCAGTTTGGGTTAAATAAGTCTTTTCTTGGCGCTCGCCGTAAAATACCACAGTACCACATTCATAAAAGGGCAACAATTTTTTAAACAAACGCGGCACGCGGTTATATCTCTAAAAATTGTAGCCGCCGGAAGACAATAAGTCGACTAATCCTACGGGAGGAGAACAATTTTATAACGGAGCAGCAATGTCACAAAACTCAACAGTTGGCTCAGCGGACGAAAACGAGCCTATAAATGTCATACAACGCGTTATGGTTAAGGTGCCTCCTTTTTGGTCAGAACTACCTGAAATATGGTTTGCGCAGGTTTAAGAACAGTTCGGGAATTCCTCGATCAGGAACGGTAACGCCGGATTAAACACGGTAGTAGCGGCCATCGAATCCAACGTGCTCAGCCAAGTTTAGGACGCCATCTTAACCTTTATGTCAACAGCAACATACCCGGGTATGTTTTGCTTTTTGAAATTGCTATATCTTAGAAACTATACATCGGATTAACTTGAAATTTCATGATATCCTCAACACAAGTATTCTACATCATATTGAGGGAGATTGGACCACCTGGACCATTTTCCGACTTTTAACCCTTACATCAAAAGCTGCATACCCGGGTATGTATGTGAAAACGCATGCAAATATGTTGATACATTTGAAAAGTAAACTTTATCCCGAATCAAATTCTTTAAATAGTGGAAGAATATAATGATAATATAATATTATACTTTATACATTTAAAATTAAAAAAATATGAATAAATTGGAAATAACAAACTTTTTAGTTACATCTATTGCATTTCGGTAAATTAGTAGAATCATTTGCACAAACGAGTTTTTTGCACAATATGCAGGCTTTTTTGTTAGGCGTCGTTTGAGGCATATATATAACAATTAACCTTTGTTTTTATTCTACCCGTACTGCCACGTTCTGCATCACCTCCTAGTGATACATCCACTATCCTCAAAGGACCGGCGTTTATTGCTTCAATGGCGTTGCGCGTAGAGAATATTCTGGTTATTCGACTATTAGTAGCCCCTACTTCTATTTCAGATTTTGCCAGGTGCTCACCAAGTTGAAGAAGGAATATCATACGTCGGTTTGTAGAAGCCTTCTGGTGTGGGTTGTCTCCACGTAAATTATGTCCATACGTAGCAAAGGCGGCCACATCTAGAATATTATAAAATAATGGTAAAGGACATCTATTCGTTCGCCGCTTGATTGAATATTCTGCTAAGCATTTAACTGTAATATTAACGTCACCTTTGCTTTCGTTGTATCTAAAATCAAAAGTAAATTTTTCTTATGGCCTCTTACTTCGGTTTTGTAATTTGTTTGTTTGCACACCTGAGTATGTTGTGGGTTTGAAACTGGCAGCTTGTGGTGGTACAGCAGACCAAGTTTTTCCATCTTTGTGAGAATAGTTTCCCCGGTTTCACTTCGTATGCCGTCCTTTTCCCATCTTCACTTTCGTCTTCCTGGTCGTATTCTTGTAACTGGATTTCTTCCATATCGGAGTCATCTGGAGTTACTTCATGTTTGTTATCGTCCACAATCTCTTCGGACACCAAAGACTCGCCGTCACTATTATACCCGCCTAAATCTTCCAACCTCTGGCGAATGCATTCCTGCTGTTTCTAAGGATCAAGTGCACTAAGCTATCGTCGAGTAAGTCATTCACCATCTTCCATTTTTTACTTTTGTAAATTTTGTTTCGTTGGGAAACACTTGGCAATAAAAACCCATATCTCTTCAGTCTCCAAGTTCGTACTACATAAATTCAAGTAATATCCGATTATACATAAGTACTTCTTTGCCGACGGGTTCTTCAGGTTTGTGCAAGCTTTGAACTACACGATGTAACAAGAAACATCACATTAATTATTTTCGTCTACTTGAAAAACCTTTTTCTCATATATTTAATTACTAGCGAATACCCGGCGTGCTTCGCTGCGCCTTAAAAGTAATTTTG